TTGTTCCCTCTGAAATCCCTTTACACTGCTCCTTTTATGTATTTTTTCCTTTCTTTTAAGCTGGGTTCATGAACAAATTAAATGATATATATGAGCTATTTGGCTTACGTTTGTCCTCGTTTTAAGGTAAAACTCCTTCAGTTTTAACAACTAATAATTTTATATTGTGTCAGTATGTCTACACCCAGAATACACACAGAAGAAAAGTTATTGGTTTTCTAAATCCTAGGCTATTACCTCACTAATTGCTATTCTTGTTTGGAGCTGCTTATGCAGGCTTGAAGGACATAATTTAGCCTGGCTTCCTTAAGTAAGTTTCTGCCTCATTTTTCTTCCTTTATTCAAAGTTGCTTTGTCCCTTTTACATCCTTCAGTTTGATTATTAATCACTCGTCCTTGTTTTCCACCAAACTTAGATTGAATTTCTTAATAAAAATCTCCCAAATACTAAATCAGCATTTCCTATGCAGCCTAAGACACAATCATTCACTTTGTGAATGAGGATTTGCCATCTAAGCCACAGTAACATCTGCCTCCAGAAACAAAGTCAGACATATTACTTGTGTTGATTTTTATATTTTCATTTTTGGCTTCCTCAGAAGCACTGAATTTATTGCCCCATTACCATGATTTGGTCCTTTCTTCATCTTTGTGTTGTTGACCCTTCTATCTATTCACTGATACAATTACTTTCCTTCAAAAATGGAAATAAATCTGCTCAAACCTGGGATGGAATTATACTTGATGGCTTGGATTGACTTCCTTGCTTAGTTTCTCACTTTTCTTTAGGAGTCAAGGATGACTGTGCACACCGTCTCTGTCTCTGGCCTTGCTTGTCTACTAGAGGCAATGCCCTGGAGTAATTCGATAAGAGGTAGTGTTGGTTACACATACATTTTTTTCCAACCCCCAATAAATTCTGCACTAGTCCCCTAATGTTTCATCAAAATAACCTGTCTAGGGCTTAGCTAAGCAAATGAGCCTTTCTTAAAGTTTTTAAGGAAGGGAACTAGCATTTCCTGAGTACCTTCCACGCGGCTGTCATTAATACCATGTTACCTCATTGAAGTGTTGCAAGCAGCCTCATGAGTTATGTACTCTTACCCCTGTTTTGCAAATAAGAAATCGAGCAACTCACAGGTGAAGTCTCTTTGCCCAAATTACACAGATGCTAAATAGCAGAGATGAAACTAGTGCCCGAGTCAGCTTGGCTTCAAAATAGCTCTTTTGTCTACAATACAGTACATCATTCTGTCTCTAGACAAATTCTACTCTTCCAAGAAACAGAAGAACAGGACCTACCAACCCACTATCTCTCCTGGCCAGAAGAATAAATATATAAAATTCACATTTTTTGTTAATGGTCCCCTGTATATTATTCCCAGGTGAGTGGGGGCAAGCAGGTCATTCCAGGAGTACTCATGATAGAAAGACATTATAAAATCCTTTTTAATCTGTAATTCCTAAAGTTTATTTAGGGCTCTATCGAAACTATCCTTACGATTTAGTATCACACTAACCAGCTCTTGAATCTAGTCAAAATTTATTAGCTTGTTTTTGAGTATTATTGACCCTGAGCGTACATGGCATGTTTGAGTCTACAAAACAGCCATCAAGTATCAGAAAACAAAGGACATTTTTAAACGTGGGTGTATGGCTCATCTAACACAAGAACTGAATATGTAGTCAGGAATATCTGTTTTCAACTACATGTCTCCCTCCTCTCCCAGCTGTTTAGCTTTGTGAATATAAATGCTGTCTGTCACCAATCTCTTGTTGGTTCTTCCTTCAAAGAATTCCTTGGTTTTGCCTCTTACTGTCCATTCTGATAAGCGTGGTCTGTGGCTTTTCATTCTTTTGTTGCTCTGAAACCTTCCTAAATGCAGTCTCTCTGCCTCCAATTCCTCCAACATACCGTAATAGCCAGACTAATGTTCTTAAAGCTTTGCTTTCATCCTTTTACCCCAGTGCACGAGCATTTCCAACGGTTCCGCCCATTTCGTCAAATATAAAATTGCTCGGTCTAACTGCTGAGGCTCTCTAAAATCAAGCCCTGTCCCCATTGGAGTCCTTTCTCACTATTCTGCAGTACAAACCCATTGCTCCCATCAGGACAGTTATTTCTTTGGGCTCCATGTGAGCTGCAGCCTGTGCTGCAGAGCCTGAGTCCCATCTCTGTGCCATGATTACATGGATGCCTTGATCTGGCGCCTTCTCCACACCCTACTCATGTTTCATAACTGAATGTGTGTGATGGAATGACCTCCCAGTGAACAGCCAGAAACTAAGGGCCAAGCAGACACCAGGTAACCTGAAGAAGACCCAGGAAAAGTCACGGAAACTGTGCTGCCACAGGAACTGAATTTCAGCAACTAACCTAGGAGGGACGAAGAGTGGAAAGAAATGGGAAGAAAGGAAGAAACTGATGGAAAGAGTTAAACCAGTGTTACAGTTTCTGGCGTAAGGGTCAGGGAGAAACTGGGTCTGGGAAAGCAGAGCATGAGCCCATTTCTGGAACTTTGGGAAGAAACTGGAGATCATTGAAAGTCATGAACCAAATGGATAGGTTTCTGTTCTCCTCACGTGGACGCACATTTACAGATTCCAAAGACAGGCCTACCTACCTGTAGTGGTGGGCAAAGTAACTAAAACCTGCAAACATGAGAAAAAGGTATTATCAGGGTGCCAACTAGAGCATCAAGGCATTGAAACTCCCGGGGGTGGTTCAGCAGCTTTCAAGAGCACCCAAACCTGAGATTCCCTTCTCCTTTCACAGAGGGCACATTTGCTTAATCTCACAATGCCCAGCATCTTTCTTGCAACTCCTGGAACTGTTTCGAAGGTCAAGTGCAACTTATCTCTTTGCTTACGTGCATTTGTGGTCGAGGGTATGGGGAGGAGCCATTATTATATATCCTAAAGATAGCACACCTGGACTAGAAAGATGTCTTTGGATTTTTTTTTTCTCTCTCTCTCTTACTTGAAACTCATGCATCCTTTCCAACTGTGTGCGAGTCTGGAGATCTGTGGGTGAAAATTAATCTTCCTATGGCCTTCAGAGTGCCCAGGGGATTTTCCTTTTGGAGTAGTTGGACGATAGCAAGGTAATACTGGAGTTGCTATTCATATTATTATATTCATATTATTACACAATATTCATATTATTCATAATATTCATTTATTCATATTATTACACAATATTTTCTCTGGTAGAGGGGAGTTGGGGTCAGAAATTTGGCAGCAAATACAAAATCCCTAACAAGAGACTTAACAATAGACTTAGAATTTGGCCACATTCTAGTGGGACAGGATGTTTGAAGAGCCCCTTGACTGTGTAATGGGCACTGAGAATTCAGCAAAAGCTTATTTTCAATGTGATGATCCTGAGGAAATATATGGGCAGCAGTCATATTAACCTCTTTAAGTTTCAAGTTCCTCAACTCTAAACTGTATGTACTTTTAGTACCAGAGTCTTACAGTATTAGTGTGAGAATTAAATAATACATGCAAAGTCCTAAGCATATGGCCTGGCATCCAGCAGCTATATAACCATATTGACAATACAAATCATAACTCCTTGTTTTGCAGCATTGTTTGGAAATGTGATGCATTTTGCAAGTAACTAAAGCATAATTCTGTATTAAACCTTTAAATTTTTGATCGTTTTAGTTGAAAATATTTCTGAAATGTGTTCAGTACGTTTCTGTCTTACACTTCCTTAAACGGAGACAAGTTCTGTTCTAGGAAAAGAGCACAGGGGGCTCCGAAGGAAGGATGTTGCACTTTCACTTTAATCCCTGGATTTTCTGTTACTATTTTAGTTTTTAGAAATTAGACCCAAAAGGGATTCTGACAGACTAAGAGTCTCAAGATTAATAGAAAATTTGTTTTAGTCTGGGTCTTTATTTCCATACCCCAAAACACCTTGCAACCCCTGGTGGGAAGGAATTAATCTGTCCATTTAGCAAATATCCATTGGGTGTCTACTGTGTTCCAGGATGCTGAATAAACAGTAGGACACAGACAAAAATTCCTGCTCTCATAGAGTTTACATTCCAGTTGGAGCTATATTCAGGCAATAAACAAAGAAAATAAAGTTTATATAAGATATTAAAAGGTGCTAAGTGCTGGGGAGGAATACGATTTTAAATTAATAGTCAGGTGAAACCTCACTGGTAAGGTGCAATTTGATCAAAGAGATGAAGGAAATGAGGGAGGAAACCATGAAGAATTATGGGGAAAAAGCATTCCAGGCAAAGGAAACAGCAGCTGTTAAGATCCTGAGGTAGGACCCATGGGCCATCAAGCATTGGGGCCTGGGAGGCTGTTGATGAGTTAGAGCAGAAGGGACTGGTAGGAGATGAGGCCAGGAAGGGTTTGGAGGATATGAGAGAGACCATTTTCAGGTCCTTGGCTTTTCTCCTGTGCAAAGGGAAAGTCCTTGGAATGTTTTGAGCAGAGAAGTGATTTGACTTAAGTGTTCAAAAGTTCTTGAAACTCCAGCTGTTTGGAAGTAGGCTCTAGGGGCAAGGGTGGGAGCAGAGCTCAGTATTGTCATGATGGTGGCTACAGAAGTGGTCAGATTCTGGAGTTTTGTTTTGTTTTGTTTTGTTTTGCGGTACGCGGGCCTCACACTGTTGTGGCCTCTCCCGTTGCGGAGCACAGGCTCCAGACGCGCAGGCTCAGCGGCCATGGCTCACGGGCCCAGCCGCTCCACGGCATGTGGGATCTTCCCGGACCGGGGCACGAACCCGTGTCCCCTGCATCAGCAGGCGGACTCTCAACCACTGCGCCACCAGGGAAGCCGTTTAGTTTACTCTTGATGTCTCCTTGCTATTCAGCTCCCTCTAAGCTTGTAAATTCACATAATTTGTGTGAAAGCACTAAAAAACATGAATTTCAGTATTAACCCAAGCAAAATGTAATTAAGGAAGTAAATCTATAACAGAAAAAAACACGGTAATTCTTTGCAATGTCCAAGAAAAATGGCTTTTGGATTATCTGCTATTAGGAAGTATTTTATTCATAAGCTCTTCTCTCCTCATTCATTTATTCACTCTTTAGTTATAGGGAACATGCTAAATACACAGGACTTGGACCCTTGTTTGAGGCAGATCATGGTGCTGAATTGATGCTGCTGAATTGATGTTGAGCAGCTGTTATCACCATTCACCTGTGGGTCTCCTTCCAGAGGTGTCCTTTGATCCTTAAGAAGAGCTGCAAAAAGTAAAAAAGAAAGAAAACAATGAGCACTGGCCACACTTAGGGCTTTGTCTTTTGGGCAGAGAGTTCAAGGTGGATTTACAGGTAAATCTTTCACAACCAGATGCCAATTATACATCTGAGTCTCACCCTCCGTGGATCTTGTCCTAATCTCCCCCAAAATACAGAGGTCACTTTGAAAGTGCCTCAAACATACTCTAAATTACCAGGATTTAAAAGGATAATCACCCTCTATCATTACTTGCATCTAGCAGCAGAGTAAAGAGGAAATTAAATGCTTCTTCATTCTTTCCTACAAAATGAACTAGAATCTCCCTCAATCTTCCCCACATTATATGTAGGAATGGAACACAACAAAATGCTTCTCTCTCTCTCTCTCTCTTTCAAAAAGGAAAAGGTAAAATACAGCCTGTTCTAAAACTTTCACAGTTGAAGAGAAATTCCAGGGAGAGTTCTGTTTCTACCAGAGGTTTTGATATATTGTGAAGGTCTGAAAATATTTACAAGTTCATGAGAGGTTAGGTGTCTAGCAAATGAGATGTACCTTATGAAATATTCAACAAAAACTGTTGAAGTCTTTATAAGTATGTTACCCTACATATTTTATCATCAGTGTTCAGCAAATCCTTTATGTTTCTTTTTAATAAGGATACTCCATCCCAACATTTCCCTTCTATTTCAAACTTTTCCATAGGCTGGCCTGAATGTAAACTAGAAATCTTGTGTTTTACTAACTGCAGGGTGCTCAGCTTGAGCTCCGTGAATAAAATATGACTCTGATCATTAAAACGTAATAAAAGCCAGTGCTTTGAAACCTTAACCTAAACAAGCTTGCTCTCGGATCCTGGAGGCGAACTTCAGCTGTTCTCTAAGCAGGGGCTCCTCTGCAGAAAGCCCAGGCCTCATACAAACCATTGGAACCTGCTAATCCGACATGTGCTGCTAAGCACACAGTCAGAGCCATTGCCACAGTAGCGATCTCCCGGTGGCTCTCAGCGCTTTGTCATTTTCAGGCCACCAGAGTCTTCCTACTCCCACTCTCCTCCCACAAAGATTAAATCAAGAGGTAAGAGTCAGGCTCAAAGGTTACATGTGTGGTTCAGTGTCCCTCACCTTGTCTCTCCAAAAATCTCCTTGCAGGAGAACAGACCAAGGAGACTTCGATCAGCTCATTCTTTAAGGGAAGTTTCAGCAAATGTTCACCAAGATTAGCCAATGGGATTGAGAGGAGAAGACCCTCAAGTAAGTAGTGTGGAAACAGCAGTCAAACTGTGCTCTTGGAATTTCTTTTTTACTGGTTCAAATGTAACCCGCACAGCAGTGGGTAGGAAATAGCCCTAAACTGCTACTCCCACCAGGATTCCCCAGAAAGGATGTTTAACTCCCAGAGTTAAACCTTAAGGCCTGTGTTTCTACGCTGGGGTGAAAAGGCCAATTTCAGCTCACACCCCAAGATGGAAGTCACTTTTTCTGCTCAAGAGAACGTAGTTCAAGGTTTCCCTCCTATTACCACAGAACAAACAGAAAATAGAACTGCCCAACTAGAGGGAAAAGAGATTTTATTGAAGAAAAAGGAAGTAAATAAATAAAAATTCCCATGTAATATGTAACCGATGTCAGATTTCTTTGCAGTGCTTAATTTTATACTTAAAGGGAGTTTGGGGCAGTCATGTAAAAAGAATGATAACTTCCTGGTGGGAAAAAAAAAAGGACTGAAAGTCTAAATGCAAGATCCCAAATATCCTTGTGCTGGGGAGGTGTCACTACAACAAAAAGATGTGTTTTGATTCTACTGAAACACTGATCACGGTAAGTTTTTACTCATAAGACATGGCTAGCAGCAGAGGGAAAACTAGCTCTCATTTTTATTCTATGGAAAGCCTCGACTCTCTCACTGTCTATCTCGTCCCCTTTCTCTTATACTTTGCTCTCTCCCTCAGCTTTTTTTTTTTCTGTTTTCTCTTTCTCTTCTGTTTCCCTTCGTATCACTTCTGTCCACTCCCACTTCTGTAATCTTCTAGAAGTATAATGATTTTTGTAGTGTTTTTCTGTAAGTCATTGGGGCTCAGTCTATTTAAGGGCCATATATGGAAGGAAATGTACACGTAAGGACGTAAAATGAAAAATAAGTCTTGTCTTCATTGTGTGCAGAAGAAGAAACATTTCAAAATGACATACTAAAATTCCCACTCTGCCGTTCGTGGATATATTGCCACAAGGCACCCTCTTCTTGACCTTCCCTAACCAACAAGCCAAGCTTGTTTCCGTAAATTACCTGATTGCTTGTTCAGCCAAAGCCATGTTTGGCCACGGGGCTGCTCCCTCCTCCTATGTCTTCCATCCACACTACCTACCCCAGTCCCAAATTTTCACAGCCTTGGACAAACCTTAGGACAGTCCTATCCCTTCCAACTAATAGCGGCCTAATTCATGAAGCTGAGTCAGCAGATTTCAAGGGGCACTGCCAAGCCTAGCAGATGACATGCACAAAAACAGCAGAGATTTTCCAAATAAAGCAAAAGAGGATTGTTAGACTGCCCCACAGCACAGGTGTCCCAAGTATACCTTGCCCTCCTGGGCCTGTTCGTCTTAGATTGAGTCCCTGCCCTTCCCCCACCCACTCTGCTCTGTTTCCCAGATCAGTTGGCTTCTGGCTGGGTTCAGCCAATGGGAGACACTGACTGGAGGAAGGACGAAGCCAGTGTGTCTCTCCTCTTTCCTTCCTGCTCTGGACTATTTTCCCCCTACTTTTCTGCTTTAGACAGGACTCTGAGTTGACAATCTGTTCCTCGGTTGTTTTTTCAGCCTCTTCCATCTCCAGGGAAACCAGTTCCCTGAACTCCCTCTGTTTTCTGGGCATATACCCAGAGAAAACCATAACTCAAAAAGACACACCCCAATGTTCATTGCAGCACTATTTACAATAGCCAGGACATGGAAGCAACCTAAATGCCCATCAACAGACTAATGGATAAAGAAGATGTGGTACATACATATACAATGGAATATTACTCAGCCATAAAAAAGGAACAAAATTGGGTCATTTGTAGAGATGTGGATGGACCTAGAGGCTGTCATACAGAGTGAAGTAAGTCAGAAAGAGAAAAACAAATATCATGTATTAATGCATATTTGTGGAATCTAGAAAAATGGTACAGATGAACCTGTTTGCAAGGCAGAAATAGAGACAGACGTGGAGAATAAATGTATGGACACCAAGGGGGGATGGGGGCGGGTGGGATGAATTGGGAGATTGGGATTGACATATATACACTAACTAACATGTATGAAATAGATAACTAATGAGAACCTGCTGTATAGCACAGGGAACTCCACTTTGCTGTACAGTAGAAACTAACACAACATTGTAAAACAGCTATACCCCAATTAAAACAAAACAAAACAAAACTCCCTCCGTTTTAAATGCTCACAGTAGTTTCCAGTTTTCTGGATGGACCTTGACTGATACATCTCCTTAGGAGCAACCACCTTTCTAAAAGGCAGCACTACTCCTGTCTACCCCCGCTCCTAACATCCCCACGCCACACGTGCACACGCATTTCAGCCACCACCTACACAAATGCGCACCTTCCATTCTGCCAGTCTAGTTAAATGCCTGTCACTGCAGGAACTGCAGATCTAATTTTCCTCCACTAGAGGAAATACAAGGGACTAGCAGGTCAGGATTCAAATCACGGAATAGGAGCTGTCTCCCCAGCACCCAGCACCTGTCCCTAATCCCAGCCCAGTCATCATAAACTGAGCAGTCAAGTGACAAAAGCTTCCCTGGAGCTTCCCAGATGGATGCCAGGGAATCAGAAAACCTCATGAGATGCTACAGGAAACTTCATTTGAATGCATACATATGTTTTGTTTTCCTTGGGAGACAGTCTGTTTATTTCGTTGATTTCTCAAAGGGCCCACAAGTCTAAAACTGATTAAGAAGAATGTGACTACATCAAAATTTAAAACTTTGTACATCAAAGGACACAACAGAGTGAAAAGGCAACCAACCCAATGGGAGAAGATAGTTCCAAATCATATATTTGATAAGGAGCTATGTCCAGAATATATAAAGAACTCCTATATCGGGGCTTCCCTGGTGGCGCAGTGGTTGGGAGTCCGCCTGCCAATGCAGGGGACACGGGTTCGTGCCCCGGTCCGGGAGGATCCCACATGCCGCGGAGCAGCTGGGCCCGTGAGCCATGGCCGCTGAGCCTGCGCGTCCGGAGCCTGTGCTCCGCAGTGGGAGAGGCCACAGCAGTGAGAGGCCCGTGTACCGCAAAAAAAAGACACAAAAAACTCCTATAACTCAGCAACAACATCAACAACAAAACCCAATTAAAAATGGGCAAAGGACTTGAGTAATACACTTCTCCGAAGGCCAAAAAACACATGAAAAGACTTCACTAATTATCAGGGAAAAGCAAATCAAAACCATGGGATACCATTTCACCCCCGTTAGGATGGTTACTGTAAAGAGAAAAAAAACAAACAAAAGCCAAAAAACAGAACATATCAAGTACTGGTGAGGATGTGGAGAAATTAGAACCCTTGTGCACTGCTGGTAGGACTGTAAAATGGTGCAAACTCTATGAAAAAGTGTGCGGTGGATCCTCAAAAACTTGAAAATAGAATTACCGTATGATCCAGTAATTCCACTTCTGGGTATATACCCAAAAGAATTGAAAGCAGGGTCTCAAAGAGATATTTGTACACCCATACTCATAACAGCAGTATTCACAATAGCAAAAGAGTGGAAGCAACCCAAGTGTCCATCAGGAGACAAATGGATAAGCAAAGTGTGGTACATACAAACAATGGAATACTACTCAGCCTTAAGAAAGAAGGAAATTCTGACACATGTTACAGTGGATGAGTTTTTTTTTTTTTTTTTTTTTTTTTTTGGTACGTGGGCCTCTCACTGTCGTGGCCTCTCCCATTGCGAAGCACAGGCTCCGGACGCGCAGGCTCAGTGGCCATGGCTCGCGGGCCCAGCCGCTCCATGGCATGTGGGATCTTCTTGGACCGGGGCACGAACCCGTGTCCCCTGCATCGGCAGGCGGACTCTCAACCACTGCACCACCAGGGAAGCCCACAGTGTGAGTTTTAAGGACATTAGGCTAAGTGAAATAACCAGTCCCCAAAAGACAAATACCCTATGATTCCACTTATATGAGGTACCTAGAATAGCCAGATTCATAGAGACAGAAAGTACAATGGTGGTTGCTAGAGGCTGGGAGAGGGGAGACTGGAGATTGTTGTTTAATGGATATAGATTTTCAGTTTTGCAAAATGAAAAGAGTTCTGGAGATTAATTGCACAGTAAGGTAAATGTACTTAACACTACTGAACTGAACACTTAAAAATTATTAAGATGATAAATGTTATGTGTATTTTACTGCAATTAGAAAACTTTAAAACAATTTTTTTTAAATAAAGGTGAAACCTACCGTATACTTGAGATCCTGTTTTTATTGCCCAAAAGGATGGATTAAGGAAGATTGGATTCAGGTCACATTATATCTTTTTATCTCCACAACTTATATAATTTATTGAGTTGGGATATCGTTCACTTAGTTTAGAGGTGTGAAACTGACCAGAATTTCTTAGATGAAGATGACTTTGAAGATGTGGTTCAGAAACGTCGATTTTAGATTTTAATGGACATCACATGATAAATGGACTTACTGCTGTGTAGCTAATGCTGGTAGCTCTGCCCTCTGATGAAAGAAAGCAATGTGATATGATGAGAGGAAATTTAACCTGGAGTCAGGAAGTCTGGGCATGAATCTTTGTCCCATCACTGATGACCTAGGGCAAGTCAAACAACTTCTCTGAGCCTCAGATGTTCTGTCTGTAAAATGAGACAGATAATCCCTGTTTCTTATTTCCTAGTGTGTTATGAGGCTCAAATAGGAAAATAAATGGAAATACATTTAAAAACTGTAAAGTGTGATCCAGAAAAAAGGTATTTAGTCTAATTCTCACTTATGATCCTTGGTTATATTTGCCTTCAATTATTGTTACATCACTTTTCCAAGTCAATCTATTATTTACTAGTTCTATTGACTTAAGCAACACAGCACACAACAAAGAATATAATAAACACTTAATACCAGCCTTGTGAAAATTATCTTCTAATCTTTATTAATGTGCAGGCATATAACTCTATATTGGAATTAGTTGTTGTCTGCTACTTTATGTTCTGTTTTTTCCACTTAACATCATACCCCATTCTCAGGTATTAAGAGGAATTATGAAAATATCTCTGTTACGTCAAATATTAACATGCTATAGTTTGTGGCATCATTCCTCAAGAGGCCCTAGTCTTAAAATATCAGCCAATAAACAGAAGCCTTTAGAGACAAACTGATGAACAGAATATGCCCTTGCACAAAAGTGCCAAACTATAATCTGACGGAATTGGGAACAGAAGTGTTGTCAACCTTTTTGGCTGAGAGAGTTCTGAGGCAATGCCCTAAGGAAGACAGAAATGATGAGTGTGGTAAGTGACGGTCCTGGGAGAGAGAGACCTAAATTCTGCCAAGTTTTTAACCAAGAAGCAAGACGAGATTTATCACAGGTGAAAAACCAAAACCGTCCAGTAGGGAACCAAGAGCAGGGAGACGGTACATAAAGTGGTTCACAATTTCAGCAGCAGTCCGTAAAACCTGTGTTTGAGTTCTGATTCTGCCACCAACTGATGCCACTTACTTATCATTGGGAAGGATACCTAACCTCTACAAGTCTCCATTGTCCCATCTAAGAGAAGAGAGACTAGTAGTATCTAACTCATAGGATTGCTTGGAAAATTGAATGAGATAATACATATAAAGCACTTCACACATGCTCAGAAATCACAGATGTAAGATTAAATTTGGCAATGCATTTCTATATCTTAAACACTCACAATGTGAAGGCTAAATGAACTCTCTGTGGAGTGCTCAAGTCATATCAACCTTGCAGGAATCAGATATACCCAACAGGAGGTGCCAACTCAGTCCGTTTTTAAGGATGTTAAATTTAAAAAGCAGCACTTCTGTTATTGACACATTCAGTCAGTGACAAGATGGCACCCATACCTCCTACTATAAACCCTTGACTGGGTGCAGGGTACAGTATGTACTATTTACAGATGTCTGATCATCTAGCATTTAATAAAGCAGTGTGGCAGCCAACCCCACCTCAAGTCTCGGGTACTTGAAATTCATCCTTCATTAGATAGCAGTATCTGTTGGCAAAGAAAAAAGTATTGAAGTCCACTTCTCGACATTACAAATTCTGGATGCATAGAAAACATTTCTTAAGCCGCTAATGAGAAGTAGGTTTATCCAAGTATGAAAGCAAATCCTGTGATCTGAGGAAGGCAAGGGGCATGAAAGCAGCAAGGACTCCACGGAGTTACTAAATTCCAAGGGTCTGAAACTGCTCAACAAGCCACAACACCCAGCAGCTTCAAAACGTGTTTTTCTTCTTAGGATTGACCCGGGAGCAACAGTTGGCTCATTTGGCAGAAAAGCTACACTTTCCAACATGTAGAAAACAAGGAGTTGATGTGGGGAAGGAGGCTTGTGCAATTTTCCTGTGTTTCCAGTATTTGACTTTTACAGGCATAACCCATGCCCCAGCAATTCCATTCCTAGGTATATGCTCAACAGACAGTCATGCATATGTGCACGTACAAAATAGCAATAGCAGCTTCGTTCATAACAGCCCCAAAGTAGAAACAACCCAAAGGTCCATAATTGAAATGGATAATTAAATTGTGGTATATTCAAATAAATGAATAATAATCAGCAAAGAAAATGAATACACTACCACTGCACGCAACAGTATGAAAGAATCTCACAAGCATAACGTCAAGAAGCCAGATAGAAAACAACAATATGTGCCTTATGATTGCTGTTTTAAAAAGCTCAAAAACAGGCTGGCCTAATCTATGATGCTGAAGGTTTTGAGAGTGATCACCTTTGCGGAGGAGGAAGGGGTTAGTGAGTGGGAAAGTGTCCACTGGGGCTTCTGGGATGCTCATAATGTTCTCTTTCTGTTTTAAAAATTAATTAATTAATTTTTAAATTAATTTTTGGCTGCGTTGGGTCTTTGTTTCTGCGCGCGGGCGAGCGGAGGCTACTCTTTGTTGCGGTGCACCGGGCTTCTCATTGCGGTGGCTTCTCTTATTGCAGAGCGTGGGCTCTAGGCACCCGGGCTTCAGTAGTTGTGGCATGTGGGCTCAGTAGTTGTGGCTCACGGGCTCTAGAGAGCAGGCTCAGTAGTTGTGGCGCACAGACTTAATTGCTCCGCGGCATCTTCCCAGACCAGGGATCAAACCCGTGTCCCCTGCATTGGCAGGTGGATTCTTAACCACTGTGCCACGAGGTAAGTCCCATAAAGTTCTATTTCTTGACTTAGGAGGTAGTTAGTGAGTGTGTTAGCTTTGTACTAATTCATCCAACTGTCACTTTGATTTGCTCACTTTTCTATATGCATATGTACTTTAATTTTAAATTTTATTAAAATAGATTTTTACCAAATTGACTAATACCAAAAAATGGACAAATTGCCTTACTAGATCAGACTGATGGACAATTCAGTCTAACTTCCTTATAATGAAACCAAGAGACATGCGTTAAAGTTGTTATCTGTACTGTCATCATTAAGTTAAACTTCTTTCTTTTGTCCAAATAACCTGCTCTGATGCTTTAATCTAATAATCCATTATTACCTTCTTGAAGTTGATTATTTTTATTTATTTGATTTAACAAGTTCTATATATTCATTACTGCTATGAAAAACATTGCCTTCTATGTATTAAATGATCTATTTCAAGCCTCGAGGGGTATCCCACCCATGCTAGTATGCCAAAATTTAATCAGTAAGTCCACTTTCATATTTTATAATTTTATCAATGTGTTTGGTATACTTTCTTCATATTCATATTTCCAGATTCAACACTTCTAAGGTTTAGTCTTTGTTGGTAGAACCTCAGATTTGGAGTTCCTTTTTTATACATGACCTTCTGGCTTCCTGAGCATTTTAGCAGCCTTCTTTGAACCTGGTCTGCGTTCATTAAGACTTTTTTTTTTTACTGTTTATTTATTTATTTTCTTATTAGTCATCCATTTTATACACATCAGTGTGTACATGTCAATCCCAATCTCCCAATTCATCCCACCACCACCACCCCCCACCACCACCGCTTTCCCCCCTTGGTGTCCATATGTTTGTTCTCTACATCTGTGTCTCAATTTCTGCCCTGCAAACCGGTTCATCTGTACCATTTTCTAGGTTCCACATCTATGCCTTAATATACGATTTTTTTTTTCTCTTTCTGACTTATTTCACTCTGTATGACAGTCTCTGGATGCATCCAAGTCACTACAAATGACCCAATTTCATTCCTTTTTATGGCTGAGAAATATTCCTTTGCATATATGTACCACATCTTCTTTACCCATTCGTCTGTCAATGGGCATTTAGGTGGCTTCCATGTCCTGGCTATTGTAAATAGTGCTGCAATGAACACTGGGGTGCATGAGTCTTCTTGAATTATGGTTTTCTCTGGGTATATGCCCAGTAGTGGGATTGCTGGGTCATATGGTAATTTTTAGTTCCTTAAGGAACCTCCATACTGTTCTCCATAGTGGCTGTATCAATTTACATTCCCACCAACAGTGCAAGAGGGTCCCCCTTACTCCACACCCTCTCCATCATTTGTTGTTTGTAGATTTTCTGATGATGCCCATTCTAACTGGTGTGAACTGATACCTCATTGTAGTTTTGATTTGCATTTCTCTAATAATTAGTGATGTTGAGCAGCTTTTCATGTGCTTCTTGGCCATCTGTATGTCTTCTATGGAGAAATGTCTATTTAGGTCTTCTGCCCATTTTTGAATTGGGCTGTTTGTTTTTTTAATAGCGAGCTGCATGAGCTGTTTATATATTTTGGAGATTAATCCTTTCTCCATTGTTTCATTTGCAATATTTTCTCCCATTCTGAGGGTTGTCTTTTCATCTCGTTTATGGTTTCCTTTGCTGTGCAAAAGCTTTTAAGTTTCATTAGGTCGCATTTATTTATTTTTGTTTTTACTTCCGTACTCTAAGAGGTGGGTCAAAAAATATCTTGCTGTGATTTATGTCAAAGAGTGTTCTTCCTATGTTCTCCTCTAAGAGTTTTATAGTGTCCGGTCTTACATTTAGGTCTCGAATCCATTTTGAGTTTATTTTTGTGTATGGTGTTAGGGAGTGTTCTAATTTCATTCTTTTCCATGTATCTGTCCAGTTTTCCCAGCACCACTTCTTGAGACTGTCTTTCCTCCATTGTATATCCTTGCCTCCTTTGTCAGAGATTAGTTGACCATGGGTGCGTGGGCTTATCTCTGGGCTTTCTGTCCTGTTCCATTGATCTATATTTCTGTTTTTGTGCCAGTACCATAATGTCTTGATTACTGTAGCTTTGTAGTATAGTCTGAAGTCAGGGAGTCTGATTCCTCCAGCTCCGTTTTTTTCCTTCAAGACTGCTTTGGCTATTTGGGGTCTTTTGTGTCTCCATACAAATTTTAAGATTTTTTTGTTCTAGTTCTGTAAAAAATGCCATTGGTAATTTGATAAGGATTGCATTGAATCTGTAGATTGATTTGGGTAGTACTCATTTTCACAATATTGATTCTTCCAATCCAAGAACATGGTATATCTCTCCATCTGTTGGTATCATCTTTAATTTCTTTCATCAGTGTCTTATAGTTTTCTGCATACAGGTCTTTTTTCTCCCTAGGTAGGTTTATTCCTAGGTATTTTATTCTTTTTGTTGCAGTGGTAAATGGGAGTGTTTCCTTAATTTCTCTTTCAGATTTTTCATCATTAGTGTATAGGAATGCAAGAGATTTCAGTGCATTAATTTTGTATCCTGCAACTTTACCAAATTCATTGATTAGCTCTAGTAGTTTTCTGGTGGCATCTTTAGGATTCTCTAGGTATAGTATCATGTCATCTGCAAACAGTGAAAGTTTTACTTCCTCTTTTCCAATTTGTATTCCTTTTACTTCTTTTTCTTCTCTGATTGCCGTGGCTAGGACTTCCAAAACTATGTTGAATAATAGTGGTGAGAGTGGACATCCTTGTCTTCTTCCTGATCTTGGAGGAAATGCTTTCAGTTTTTCACCATTTAGAATGGTGTTTGCTGTGGGTTTGTCATATATGGCCTTTATTATGTTGAAGTAGGTTCCCTCCGTGCCCACTTTCTGGAGAGTTTTTATCTTAAATGGGTGTTAAATTTTGTCAAAAGCTTTTTCTTCATCTATTGAGATGATCCTATGGTTTTTATTCTTCACTTTGTTAATATGGTGTATCACACTGATTGATTTGCATATATTGAAGAATCCTTGCATCCCTGGGATAAATCCCACTTGATCATGGTTTATGATCCTTTTAATGTGTTGTTGGATTCTGTTTGCTAGTATTTTGTTGAGGATTTTTTCATCGATGTTCATCAGTGATATTGGTCTGTAATTTTCTTTTTTTGTAGTATCTTTGTCTGGTTTTGGTATCAGGGTGATGGTGGCCTCATAGAATGAGTTTGGGAGTGTTCCTTCCTCTGCAATTTTTTGGAAGAGTTTGAGAAGGATGGGTGTTAGCTCTTCTCTAAATGTTTGATAGAATTCACCTGTGAAGGCATCTGGTACTGGACTTCTGTTTGTTGGAAGATTTTTAATCACAGTTTCAATTTCTTTACTTGTGATTGGTCTGTTCATATTTCCTATTTCTTCCTGGTTCAGTCTTGGAAGGTTCTACCTTTCTAAGAATTTGTCCATTTCTTCCAGGTTGTCCATTTTATTGGCATAGAGTTGTTTGTAGTAGTCTCTTAGGATGCTTTGTATTTCTGCGGTGTCTGTTATAACTTCTCCTTTTCATTTCTAATTTTATTGATCTGAGTCCTCTCCCTCTTTTTCTTGATGAGTCTGGCTAATGGTTTATCAATTTTGTTTATCTTCTCAAAGAACCAGCTTTTAGTTTTATTGATCTTTGCTCTTGTTTTCTTTGTTTCTATTTCATTTATATCTGCTCTGATCTTTATAATTTCTTTCCTTCTATTAACTTTGGGTTTTGTTTGTTCTTCTTTCTCTAGTTCCTTTAGGTGTAAGGTTAGGTTGTTTATTTGAGATTTTTCTTGTTTCTTGAGGTAGGCTTGTATAGCTATAAACTTCCCTCTTAGAACTGCTTTTGCTGCATCCCATAGGTTTTGGATCATCGTGTTTTCATTGTCATTTGTCTCTAGGTATTTTTTGATTTCCTCTTTGATTTCTTCAGTGATCTCTTGGTTATTTAGTAACGTATTGTTTAGCCTCCATGTGTTTGTGTTTTTTACGTTTTTTCCCTGTAATTTATTTCTAATCTCATAGCATTGTGGTCAGAA